TCAAAGTTGTCAAAGAATCTATAACCGATCCTTCATTTAATCATGTTCATGCTATTGCTTTGCTGGGCATCAACTGTATTTCTGAGTTATCAATTCCAAGCTACGCTTTCCACATATTATCCATCCCTCTCCTACATTAATAGTGAATTAACATACAATTAAAGGAATTGCGTATTCCATAAATAAACCAAACATCATCATTTTATAATATCACAAATCTGAAATTAAGCCATGTGATAAACAAAAAAGGGAACCTAGCCATTCAAAATCCTTGCTTTATGTTAACATATGATGAAAAATATGCACAAACTCAGCCAAATGCAAAATGCATAAAAGAAGAGATTTATTAAACAGTAAATAGAACACAAGGGATAAAAGGTGCAATTGGGTAGAGAAGAAATTCCTACGAAATAAACTTCAATGATAATGCATATAGTGTCTTTGGATAAAGATTTTGAGAGCTAAAAACTAACGGAATGTAAATATTTCATTCAGCTAACCTTCTGAAAATTCTTGATTGGCAGCATCAAATGGAAGAATGAAGTTTTGGTTCAAATCACTTGATGCCGATCAGTAAAAGTAAAATATATTGAATTGGTAAAAAACAAATCACAAATGTTAAAGTTGTAAAGGGAACTCTCTGAATGTGTCTCTGAGAGAAACAGAGATGGGCAATTAATTCTATAATAAAAAATTAAGAAAGAACGATGAAATCACATAAGCCAATAGTATCTTAAAAATGCCATACTATCGAACACTCTTTATTTTTACTATAGAATAAATCAAAGAAGTATAACTTTGATGATTTGGATGCCATCTTTAATTTCAAACCATTCATAACGGAGAGAATGTGTACAAACCACCAATTTAAATCATAACCCGAGAATCAAATGTCTTGGAAGCCTGCCATCTAAGTTCAACATATTTATCTGCATCCTGTTTGCTCTATCTTGATAATCAATCCGTGCAAAATGAATGGAATCAAATGCCAAATATTGAAACAAAAAAAAATAATAATAATGAAAGGTGGAGCAAGAAAAATATTTAATGTATAAACGTTCAAAATAAACCTAAAAACATAAAGAATTCGTTTTCGCATTATCTCATTGTTTGTAGTGCTAGACCTAACTTTGGCTATAGAGAACTTCTGATACTTTATGGAATTAATAAACTCTACAGAAACAGTAAAAGTGAATGAATATGGAAATTATGATTTTCTCAAACCTTTCGGGGTTGTTTTTATAGTCATTCTAGGAAATTAATGGATTTTGATAACTGTTCATACCTTGAGAAGATTACCCGGCGAAACGGTATCATCAATGTCAGGCACAAGATCCTTAGACGACAAAACAAATATTGATAAATAATACAGAAATATGTGATTTAAACAAATCAATTTTAACTGAAATACAAATATAAATCCTCATACATTGATTCGATTGCATCAACCAGATACTTGAGATCTGAGGGAGCCCATACATCGATCTTTAGAATAGTGAAGAAGAACATTATGATTTCATAAATTAATGTTCAAATCTTAATGATGTATCTTTATGAGATGCACTGAATCAAACCAACACTCACAGAAACTCCTACACCTCTTATGCCAGCAAGAGTCAACAATAGACCTGCAAGCAAAATTTCTTTAACTTTTAGCAGCTTATATAATAAATTCCTCTCATTTATCTACTATACGAAAATGTAGTGATAAAATCATGCTTATGCAATATGGTGAGAAATATAATGCTAAGTTAAATAAATAGTTTAATCGCAAACCTAGAAGTTCACCAACAGTAGTTTAATGGCAAACTGGAAGTCCACCAGCAGGTTTTGGAAGAAATCCAAGCATATTTTCAAAGAACAAAATTTAATATTACCCCTTGGAAAGTAAAAGAAAACTTCACCTGACCCCTCGAGAAAGAACACAACAGGAGTCTCCAGCATTTGCACAAGAAGTTGATTATTTTGGACCATTATAACGCAATGAGTGCATCCACCAGATGGTGCATTATAATCAAAGAGAGCTTCCTACATTCATAAAGATATTTAGTAGGAATTAATGTGAGATAAAAAGGCAGCTAAAAGAAAATTACAACACATATAAATAATCACACATAACCTGGGTTTGAGCAGCATTATTTCCAGGAAAAAAAATGAGAATTCCGACCGTTAGGCCGCCATTGTTGACTTCATTGTTTTACAGTGGGCCCCATATTTTTGAATGTAACGATCCGAATTTGTTTCAGCAGGCAGTATCTTTATCAAACATTCAGTCGTAACCTTATGCATTTGGACAGTCAGATTTTTTTGATTCAAATTGTTGTGCCGCAACGTAAGTTCAGAAAGCCACTTTACTGTCCGGTGAGTGATACATGAACCCACAAGATTAGGCTGAACCTTTTTTCTTTTGATTGATTCAATTACTTCAAATTAATGATCTATTCGAAGAAATGAAACATCTTCAAACCACCACCAATCTGATAAATTGTTGGTATCCATTTGATTTATGCTTTGAGACAAAACATTCAAATACAAGTCTCGGGCCCAGGAAGAGATGGATTCACAGCTTTTGAAGATTCTAAATGTATCTTTCCATATTGAAACAATTATATAACTCAAAAAGTCCTCAGTTTTGGAAATCAGATTTCCTTGTTCAAGATTATAACTCATTTCCAAGAAATGAGCGGCACAATAAAGTGGAGCAACATTTCTTGCTGTAAGATTGACCTTCCAACCATAACACAACTTTAAAACTAACTCAAAACATTTTGATCCACCAGGGAGATTGTCGACCTGGAGACTAAGATTGCCATATCCACGATTCTGAAATACCATTCTGTTCAATGGTACTATATTAAAGGTGAAAAGGGTTGATCAGGCAGCACAGAAAGAAAAAGCTGAGAAAAACCAACCTGCTGTACGATCATCGGCTCCCCCTCAAGACTAAGTGGTTCAGTCAATATAGTGGAAAAACCATTTCTATTTCCATAAACAATATCCGTAAAGTGCCGATCACCCACCTATCATTTACATAACAAGTTTATTGTGCAATAAAATAATTAAACTAAAAGACAAAATAGAAAAAGTAACAAGAGCAAAGATTGATCATCTATACAAATCTCA